ATTGTGTTAAAGCAATGATAGGACTGGAGGCTGATCTACCAGGTTTCCTCCTTAGCCCTCAACAGACATCACGAACAGCCTCTCAAAAGGAAACACTTTTAAAGCATTGATCTAGGCTGACTCACTACAAATAGTCGGCCAGCGAGGTTAAATGTTCAATTGCCCAGATCAGCAATAATTAGCAGTGTCTGTACACTAGATACTTCAGTCCTATTCTGTTACTATTTCCAATCTGTCACCAAAATCAGCAATACCAACAGTGGACCCTTAGAACCAACTATATATTTTCCAGCAAATGTTTGGAACTTTGAGCCTAGAAAAATAGATCAGTTGGTAAAGTGCTTTCTTTGCAAGCACAAGGAATGAGTTTGATCCACAGAACCCACATAAGAAGCCAGGATTGGTGAGTGTACTTGTAGTCCCTCGACTAGGGAGGCCAACAGACAAATCCACAGGGCTCACTAGTCAGCAAGAAAAAGTTGGATGGTGTCTGAAGAATGACTTCCAAGGTTTTCCTTTGGTCTCTACATGCATGGACACATAGGTACATGTCCACACATCAGTATGCACTGAGACAGACAAACACACATCCTAAAAGGACAGAAAAACATTGTGCAAATCATGAGCGCCTCTTGGTCAGTGGTCTTCTACCAGTGGGTCACCACCCCTTTGGCAAACCTCTGTCACCAAGAGTATTCACATTACGACTCTTAACAGCAGCAAAATTACAGTTACAAAGTAGCACTAATTTTATGGTTAGGGGTCACCACAACATGAGGAACTGTATTAAAGGGTCACAGCATTAGGAAGATTGAGAACCACTGCTCTGTGTGAAGACTGTGTGGCTGGACAGATTGCATATGATTGACACAATCCTGCTTTTCCTTTGTGCTTTTGATGGGAAAGATGGATATTGAAAGCAGGCTAACTAGGGAAATGATCTATCCCAAGTTAAGGCTAACTCCAGCTTCAACCGCTTTCTCTCTGTGTGGTCACATAGGCACCCAGAGACTGAAATGAAGTATGATGGTCTCACTGGAGAGGATGTCACAACACAATACCTGACACTTGGATTTTGATACTCAAGTAAAATCAAACAAACGAGCAAACAAGACAACTTCCCATCAGTGACCTATTTTCTGTCTCCTTTACCCCTACCACACTTTTCTGTTACAGATACTATTCTTGACTTCTTTGTATGAAACTAAACGTCATGGAGTCGGAAGGCACAATAAAGCATTACTGTAGCCAGGGGAGGCCAGCGTGATTTTTAGGTGAAACAGATGGGCGATCAAGGGATTTGAGAGTTCTCTTTCTCTTCCTGCATTTTCGGAAGGGTTTCTCCAAGTGCAATGATCAAACTCGACCTTGGAGAATTTGTTTAATGCAGGACAACAAAAATCTGCCCTTTACCAGCTTTTTCTACCCATTCATCCTCACCAGGCCTCAGAGGTGCTGACCTAACAGAAAATCCCCAGCACCTTCAAACAGCAGAAGGGTTGTTTGAAGGCTACTGAAGAAAGCAGCTAGGAAAGCAAACACTCTATACTCCACTTACTTTATTGTGCCTTATACTATGACACAATCTATGGGTTCTCCAGTCTAAAACCAAAGTATTCTACAGGAAAAAAGTACTTTTCCATGCATGTCACTATCAAAAATTAATTGAATTTGATATATTTAAATCATTTTAGAAAAAAATGGAAATATTCTGGGTAAAGTCATACTACCATTCGAAAGTTAATTTCACATACTCAGGAAGTAGCATTGGCCAATAATTAATTCATCTTCTTCTGAGATTATTAAAATTATTTATGATTCTATTTGACCATAAAACAGAAAGTCTAAGCACCCCTTAAAAAAAAACTATGTCGGGCTGGAGAGATGGCTCAGATGGTTAAGAGCACTGGCTGCTCTTCCAGAGGTCCTGAGTTCAATTCCCAGCATCCACATGGTGGCTCACAACCATCTGTAATGAGATCTGGTGCCCCCTTCTGGCATGCATGCATGCATGCAGACAGAACACTGTATATATAATAAATAAATAAACCTAAAAAAAAAAAAACTATGTATTTTCTTACCCTAAAGCAGCGAATAATCAAAATTGGTCCTGTCAGGACTGAGGATACAGCTCTGTCATTAATGTAGTTGAAATGCAGACATGGGGACCTGAGTTCAAGCCTAAGAACCCATCTGAAATGCCAAGCATGCTGATGGGCACTTGTAATCTCAGTGCTGGTGGGTAGACACAGGTAAATCATTGGAGCTTGTGGGCTAGCCAGCCTAGGAGAATCATAGGGCTCCAAGTTCAGTGAGAGATTCTGTCTCAGAACAAACAAGGTAGAGCATGACTGAAGTGATCCAGTATAGACCTCTGACTTCCAAACATGGGCATACACTCTTGCTTGCATACATAAACAGACAAGTACACACAGACACGTATATAAAAATGGCCCGTTAGATTTTGGTGTAGATTTTTTTACAAGACTTTTCTAATCATACTAGTAGAAATAAGTGCATACCAAATAGGCTGAGTGCACACTGATGCCTGAGACTAAGTTACAGCACCCAAAACTCCCTGAGAAGATATAGGTTATTGGGATTTTAACAGGTAGCTAAGCCATATATCATAAAAGCATTTCTCACCTGTCCATTCATCAATTGTTCTATACATATTCATTAATAATTAAAATCAAGGGGGTCTTTCTTGGGTCCCATTATAGAAATAATAAAACTATACATATACTCAAATGAGTCTATCTTTGATAAGAAATAGGTAGATTTCATCAAATTTTTTAAAGGAAGTAGATTCTATTAAACTTTTTTAAATATCAAAAGTAGAGTTACACCCACTGTTTCAATGTGATTAAGGCCTGCAAGCTTCTTGTGTCCAACAGGTCCTGTAGTGGGCTTTCTTGATAGTTATTTGTGAATCTGTAAACATCAAAATAGAAACTAGGCCATATGGCTCATGGTCTACTCATACTTTGACTCACAAAATGAGACAGTTGGGACAAAGATAGAAAATGCTCCAGCCTATCCCAGGTCAGATACCTGCCCAATACTGAATACCTACTTAATTCCCAATCAGGTAAGTGATATTTAGAAAAATGTCTTCGAATATCCAGAGACTGTGTAGTAGAAATGGATGAGAGATGAGGACACGTGTTAGTGGTGAGCAGGCAATAGCTTTCCAGGTCAACACATTTCCACAAGAAAAATATCAGAGACAGAAAACAATGGGAAAATTCACAGTGCAGGCTGAGGAGTGTGTATAAAGCTTGGTGGCTTTTCTTTGGATTTATTGTTATTGATGATACTATTTTTATGTTCACCATTAGTTCAGAGTATCATGAACAGCCCCTGAGGAGTGTGATAAGATGCCAGCTCAGTTTAGCCAAACCACACCAGATAAATTGCTGATAGAAACTGGAAATTGGGATAGAGACTGTGCCCATCAAACTGTTCTTGAGCCATAAATCTGAGAGGAGAATTCAATCTCTATTCAAAGGAGCAGTGAACAGAGAAAGAAAACCCATGTGCTCAGTAGCAGAGTATGAGGACAACTCTCCCACTCAGGAATGAATGCTTTGGACCCCATAGTTCCTGGGAAATAGCATTACAAAGCATTGGAGAAGCTCAGTTATGAACAGGCCTGATTGGAAAGTCAAATGTTTGCAGTGATTGTAGACTTCAGTGCTTACTGGCTTGTGTATGAACAGACCTTGGATTATCATTACACCCAAGTGTGTTTCTTTCCTAAAATTATCTAAGCAGTAGGAAGCCATTTGTCTGTCTGATTTGTCTTCTCAACCATTTTATATTAAGCTAAGTACAAATTTCTGCCCATATGCCACTTCAAATATGTCTCACCATGGAGCATATCAATTTCTAATTTTATTCGAGCTTATTTTTTTAAAGTGGAACCATGATATAAACATTTTTAAATGTATGTTCATTTATTCAGTCTCTATAGATAATTCAGTAGAAATCAATTCTATTACTTTAGGGACTGTATAGAACGAACATTTTCTTGCTTCTAATACTACCTTACTCAGTACCTTTCCACTGAATCACTTACAGAGTTCCATCCATTAGGATGACAACCACAGTAGCCATAAGGTGAAAAACAATCACCTGGTGTCTCTAAACTTTGTCTCCATATCCCATGCCACCCCTGTGACCATAACCTTCCTCTTCTATAGGCTTTATTATCTGCCATCCTCTTTCTGACTCTCTCATGCTTGCCTACCAACTTTCTCTAGCCCATCCTCCCCACTAACTAACTTACAACATTTCATCCCCATGCTCTAGTATCCTACGTCTAATTTGGATCAATACTCCCTATTTCCTCCTAATTCTAGGCTTACTGGAGCCTGGAGATAAGGCATCATGCCAGATTTAGAACCTAGATGATTTCCATTTCCAAGTTTCTTCTCTATGATGATACTTTTTCTGCCAATTGTTTTGCAAAACTTCCTTCCCATGATGCTTTAAGAGTCCATTGTAGTGCTAAAGCTCACCCTGAATTCTGTCCAAGAGCCATCAGTTCTCAGCACTAATCTCTGTCACCAACCCGGACAGGTGACCTGAACAACAGCCATTCCCTCTCAGTTGTCCCCTCAAAGGACTGTGGAAGGACCTTCCAATCCTTTTCTCCAAGCTGGAGTTCATATCCAAGTATATTTTTTTCAGCCTCTGTCTCTGAGTAATACATAGTTTGTTCCGTCTTCTAAGACTTGGGTGCCAAATTTCATACAAAATTCATTGTAATTGCTAGGCATGTTCTTCTGTTTCTGGCCTCTTTCTTAATTCCCACTGGCTTCTAGAAGCATTTTATTTTGAAATACAAAATATTTTCTAGCAATGGATATCCCATTTTGTTATAAAAATGGCATGTCTAGACCACATATAATAAAAAAAGTTAACTGAGTTTTTAAACTTCTTATGGTATGCTAGAAGTTTATAATTTATTTTTTCCTTTTTTGGATGTGTTGTAGTGGGTAGCCATTCTAGCTTTGATCTGGAAGTTCCAACCCCCATTGAGGCTTCGGTAACTGTCATGCCTACAAGGCGGGCTGAGAGAGGACCCTGAAGACGCAAGATCCAGATGCACTGGCTCTCTTGGTTCCTGGACCCTGGACGCTGGAGATAGACTGAGCAGAGTTCTCCAGAGAACACTGCCGGACTGTGCTACACCTTTCCCAGACCCTGTTACCTATCTCTTCACTTGTGAGTTAACCCACAAAATAAATCTCCCTTTTAACTATGTGGAGTTGCCTTAATAATTTCACCAATAATGTGTAGGTATGGAGTGTGTGTGTGTGTGTGAGAGACAGAGACAGAGACAGAGACAGATGCTTGCTTGCATATGTGCGGGCATATATGTGTATGTACATGGCTATATATATGTCCACATGTGGAACCCCAAAGTTGACACAGCTGTCTACCTCCATTGCTCTCCACTTTTTTTTCTTAACTAAGGTACAGTCCTTTGCTGAACCTAGAGCTCATAGATTCACATACACTAGGTAGGCATCCTGTCCTGGGGATCCCCTGTCTCTGCCTCTTAGGTGCCATGATCACAGGCAGCCACCACACCTACTTGGATTTTTACATGAGTGCTAGGCATCTGAACTCCTGTCCTGACACTTATATGGCAAGAACTCTATCCACTGAGCCATCTCCCCAGGCCAAATTCTTATTAGAAATTTCAGGTAAGATTCATGCCCCGAGGAAGAAGACCTGTGCCACTTTTCATGTTGAAGAAGAAACATCACAAATTGCATTCTGAATCAAGAAGCTCCATCATTATCAAAGGCATGTGGAAATGTACGTGGTAGCCCAAAAGGATATACGCTAAAGGGCTGGCACAAGAAAACAAGAAGGATAACTTGGCTCTGCTTCAGTGTGTATCATCAGAGCAGCAGATGATCAGCGCAAAGAGATGCAAGACATTCAAATGCAGGGAGGTGCAGGCAGCAAGACAAGTTATTCTCTTTCTGAGAGATCCTAAAGCTTACTATTTAGAAACACACAAAAACCAAAGAATGGGAGTCACATTGAAAAGAAAAGTCAAAGTAGCAATGAAGAGTCTAGCAACAGCTTACTTCCGTTCATTCACTCTTCTGTGATAATTAGGTTGTTGGAATTAGGAGAAGTGCTTCTGACATTCCAAAATGCATATGCATAAGTGTACCGCTGACAGCAGTTTCATGGATAGGGAGGCATGGTGGCCCTGGTTCTGTGCGTGGGGATGGGAGCTATTTCTAGGTGAATCAGAAACCAAACATTGGGGCAGGAAGCTAAGGGGCTATGCCCCCTCTGCCCCAAACCCTACAGCCCTATGTCCAAAAGATCCCATAGTTTTCCAAAATAGTATCACCAGATGGAGACCAAATATGGAAACCTATGATCCTGTGAAGAACACACCCAGACTATAATAAGCAAGAGAAGTTAACCAGGACAAGATTAAAGAGAAAAACATTATTTATTAAAAAGCCCTTGAAAATGAATGGAAACACATGAACTATGAACCAATGGCTGAGGGGTCCACACTGGATCAGGCCCTCCGAATGGGTGAGACAGTTGATTGGCTTGATCTGTTTGGGAGGCATCCAGGCAGTGGGACCAGATCTTGTGCTCATTGCATGAGTTGGCTGTTTGAAACCTGGGGCCTATGCAGGATTGTTTGGCTTGGCCTGGGAGGAGGGGACTAGACCTACCTGGACTGAGTCTACCAGGTTGACCTCAGTCTGTGGGGAAGGCTTTGCCCTGGAGGAGATGGGAATGGGGGGGGGGGGCGTTGGGGGGAAGGTGAGGGGGACGGGAGGGGGGGAGAACAAGGGAATCCGTGACCGATATGTAGAACTGAATTGTATTGCAAAATAAATTAAAATAAATTTAAAAAAAAAAAAAAGCCCTTGAGTAACTCACATAATCAATGGAATGACTGGAGAAACTGGGCTGTAAGGAATTCTGGATAACAGGACCACACTAAGATATTTGATCCACTAGAATAAAGAAGCATTAATATTTTTTGATATGTTCATAGTATTACAGGAAAGAGACTAAAGTATGTAAACTCTAATCATTTACCTACTCCTTGGACAGAAGGAAGAAGGCAAACTTTTACTTATAGTGTTCAAGGATGAAACATGGCCATGGAAAAGCCATTACTCAACAGTTAATTGGAATGCTATTACAAAAAGCAGGTCAATGCTAGGTTATGGATGCTGAGTTGCTGAACACACAGCAAATGTGTGATGTTCTTTTTTATTCTTTCTGCTCACATGTTCTTTGAATATTCAATCTGACCATCCAGAAGTGCAGTGGGACTCTGCCTACAAAATAATCCACAGCATTCTAATAATAAGTGAGAAAGACATAAAGAAAGGTAGGGATGTAGCCTTGTTTGTCCTGCTCTTAGGGACTGTGACTTGGACTAAACCCAATGGGGTTACTTCTCAGTCTGGTTATAAATTTGGTACTTGTCAATTTCAACAAATTCTCCTCATATGACTTTTCTACTTCACTAGAGATTCTTCCAGGAAAGGTGACAGATCTTCAATCTCAGCTACAGATGTTTCCTGCTAGCTGGACCAAAGTCTCTCTAGCCCGTCTCTTGGAACTCAAAACCACAGTTTAAATATGCTTTGAGAATACACAGGAAGAAAACCAGTGGGAAACAGAGTGGTCAATAAACAGTGAGGGAGAACATGCATATTATTTTATCCAGTTGAGGGATAAAATAATTTTATTTTACCTTGTGCAATTTTACCTGCACAAGATAAGCAAAAGAATATTTGTTTTGGCCTGCATGGTATACCATGAGACCAATATGACTGCTTCCTTTAAATGAATCTTTAAGTGAGCTGTCTAGTGTTTATAATGACAAGCTAAAGATCTGTACTGGGAAATAACAGAAAGATATGGCATTGGGAGAAAATTTGGACATGGATTTATGTCCTTGTCTATCCACTAACTAAACATAACAGGGTAATTTCATAATGTTATCTGATATCTATAAAATTATTCTGTTTTGTCCCATGATATATGTAAGATGGCTTTTGTTCAATAATTATTGTTTCTTTCATAGCTTTAGTATAATCAAAGATATAATTAATTTCTAGAGCACACATAATAATTTACTTTTACCAAGCATGATGACATAGGCCCATCAGCTCAACAGTCAGCAGACTGAAGCAGGAGGACCACAAGCAGCCTGGATAAATGGAGAAAAGCTGTCTACTCTTGTAGATCTCTTCCTTCTTTAAATGAACAATTATTATATGCTTACACTGTCCTGTTCTAGAAACTGTGCAGGCAAAGCAAAAAAGATGAAGTCTTGAAGATTTTATTCTGGGCAACATATAAGGAAACAAAAGTATAACAAGATTAGAGAAAAATGGCGGTGAATGCTTTGAAGAACATAATGTGAGGTGAGAGTTGACTATTTACATAGAATAGAGATGTCTTCTCTGAAGACCTAGAGGTAACATTTAGTAGTAATATCAGTGACTTCAAACAGAAATCTCACCCTCCAGTATTGAAAAGCCATCTAGGTGGAGGGGACAGGAAGGTTAAAGGCTCGAGTCAGTGGTGATTTTAAAATATGTGAAGGACAGGAAGGCTATGTGAGCAAAGATTATAGCGATGCAGGCTGTTAGGGAACCAGTGATAATTTTAGCCAAATGATGCTGGGCTTTGTAGGTTTGGATGTGATAGACTTTTATCCTAGAAAACTGGAGGACCATGAAAGACTTTTAAGAAAGTTGGTGATATGATTTGATTTCTAATTTGAAAGAATCACTCTGACCACTATATAAAGAATAAATGGGGCTAATGAGATGGCCCAGCAAATGAAACATTGATGACAGTCTATGTTAGAACCCCAGAACCCATGTGTTTTCGTTATTGTTGTATTGCTGTGAAGAGGTGCCATGAAAAAGGTAACTTGTATAAAAGAAAGAATTAGAGGGTTGCTTACAGTTTGGGAGAGTTAGTCCATGATCATCATGGTGAGAACCAAACAGGCATGAACTGGAGCTGGAGATGAGAACTTTACATCCTGATCCACAGAAAGCAGGCAGAGAGAAAGGAGAGAGAGAGAGAGAGAGAGAGAGAGAGAGAGAGAGAGAGAGAGAGAGAGAGAGAGAGAGAGAGAGAGAAACCACCTAACTTAGGCTTTTGAAATCTCAAAGCCCATCCCCAGTGACACATTACCTCTAACAAGGCCACACCTACTACAGTAAGGCCACACCTCCTAATCCTTCTAATCCTACTAAGCATTCAAATATATAAGACTATAGAGAGCCATTAATACATGTGAAGTTGTATGTGGGATAGTTATATGATATTGTGCATAGTGCATTTGAGGTTGTACATGGGATAGTTAGTTATATTGTGTTAGGTATAATTATGACCTGGTAATTGTTTTCATTTGGAAATTATAACATAAAGAGATATGATTGTATGTCAAGTTGACAAGGGATTGATTTGTGATAGCTATTCTTAGTTGTCAACTTAACTAAATCTGGAATTGACTAAATTCCAAGCAGCTGGGTACACCTGTGAGGGATTTTTATTATTTAAGTCTTTTGAAGTGGGAAGACCCACCTTAAATATGGTTCTTTTTAGGTGAGAAGATCCACCTTAAATCTAGACTACACCTTCTGGTGTCAGGCTATATGAAGGACATGGAAGAAGGAAGATCTTAGTTCTTTGCCTGCTTGCCCTCACTATTGCTGGCAAGTTCATTCCTTCACTGGCATTAGAGCCTACTTCTTCAGGATTCTGGTGTATATACCAAAGTTCAGCTAGGACATCCAGCCTCATGGAATGAACAATTTTCCATTGGCAGATAGCCATTTTTGGACTAGCTAGGCCACAGCCTATAAGCCACTGTAATAAAACCAATGTATATATTTATATGATATATATTCATAATTTTAATTTATAATTTATTTAATATAATAAATTGATATAACAATATAATTTATATACATGTACACGCACACAGAGATATACTCTCATTTTGTCAGTTCTGTTCCTCTAGAGAACCTTGCATATACACCATGTGAAGGTATAAGGAGAGAATCAACTCCATAAATTGTTCTCTGACCTCCACTCACAGATCATGGCATGCATATGTACACACACACACACACACACACACACACACACACACACACACACTCCCAAAATATTAAATTAATTTTAAAAAAAAATAATGAATGATCGATGGCAGTTTTCATCTTCCATGCTAAG